TCCGTGGCGAAGTCTGACACCTGCCTAGACTGCCATGAAGGGAGGGTGTGGATTCTACATCATCATGCTGAGAAAAGGCGCTCAGGTAAGACAACGCCCCTTCTCCAGCATGATGAATGTAGAATCCACCGGTGGGACATACCAAAGCCGCTCATGTCCCTATGGGGGGGGGAGAGTCTAGGCTTGTGTCCCCCTGAGAAGAAACTACTTGTTGTAGAACCCTCCTACCAAACGAGGCATCCGCCGCTGCAAACCTATCAATCTTGTAATGTCTTACAAATGAAGAAGGGGAGGACCAAGTTACTGCCCTACAGATTCCTCAACAGATGCCTGGGTAGACCAGGCCGCTGACGCAGCCGCACTGTGCGTAGAATAAGCAGTGTGTAGGAACTGGGAGAGACTGAGAGAGGTAGGCTCGAGCAATGCATGCTCTGATCCATCTAACAATGGTTGAAGAGGAGACCTTCTGACCCATGGAAGAGGGATGAAAAGACACGAACAAGGCCTCCGACTTGCAAAAAGCCAATGTCCGCTTAATATAATGGTGCAGAGCCCTGCGCACATCTAATTTATGCCACTGTCTCTCCAGACAATGTGATGGGTTAGGACAAAAATCTGGAAGGGTATCCTTGAAAAAGGTACACAAGTCGCTCCTGACTGAGAGTGCGGCCAATTCCGAAATCCGCCTAGCCGATGTGATGTGAAGGCCACTTTTAGAGAAAGAAAATGAAGTGAACAAGACCTGATGGGCTTGAACGGTGGAGAAGTCAGAGCTTGCAGCACCCTAGGTAAGTCCCACGAGGGATAACAATGCACTGCAGGTGGTCTAGCATTAACCGCCCCTTTCACAAAAACACTAACTGCCGGGTGTTGTAATAATGGAACCAGGTTGTCGCAGGTAAGGACTGTTGATAGGGCCGCAACCTGTCTGCAGATGGTGCTAGGTGCTTATTCATACCTTCCAAAAGATATTCCAAGATGTTAGGAATGGTGACCAATAACGATCTGAGATGCTGCTTAGTGTACCACGTGCAAAAGTTCTTCCACGTGGCGTCATAGATCCTATTAGTTGAGGGGTGGCTTGAGGCTTGGATCATCGAGATCACCCCGGACGAATAGGATTGCCTAGCTAAACTCTCCCGCTCAAGTGCCAGGTGGCCAACTGGAGCCACTGCGGATCTGGATGTTGAAGATTCCCTTGACTGAGAGCAACTCAGTCCGGGGGAATCCTCCACAATGGCGAGAGCGACAGATCCACAAGGTCGGCAAACCACGGACGCCTTGGCCAATGTGGAGCAACTAAGATTATCTCCGCCTGCTCCTGAATCAGTTTGCGGATGGATCAAAAGCCTCTGGGCCATTCCCAGGACTGCCCGGCCCGAAAGGGCTGCCTCCATTCCCAGGTACCACTTGAGTGGAAAGTCTGTCTACGAAAGTCCTGCTGAGGCCATCTATCTGACTTCTTCAAGGGGTGTGCCAGAATCTTACGCTTGTTTTTGCCCTCTATGAGGTACGATTCGAGGACCGGACTGAATAAATACGTACCACTGTACATGGCTGTTGACAGACGCCACTTAAGATTTCAAGTAAGTCCGCCACTGTTTCAGTCACAGCAGCCTGCGAGACGCAACTGTGGCTGCAATAGATCTGGCGGAGTACCTGGCAGAGTGAAGACATGCGTCTGCCATTTATTCAGATGCTGCCACTAACTTTCCCAATGTCTGATGTGCGCGCACCTGTCAGGAGGGATGAGCCCCTGGAGTTCGTAGAGACATATGATGGACGCCTTTGCGAAAAAGGAAGATGAAGTCGCCGCCTTAATCACCCATGCCGAGGCCTGGTGAGCTCGACCGAGGGAGAACTCAAACCTCTTGTCCTCCGCCTTCAGGGCCGCAGCCATATTCCCTGGAATTGTGGATGTGGAAAATAATGAAGTTAGTGGAGTGTCCACAGTAGGCACTTCCAAAAGGGAAGAAAATGAAGAAGAAACATTGAAAAGTTTCTTTTCTGTGCTATTGGGAGAAGGTAAGGTGGCCAGAGAAGACCACTGTTTCTCCACCGTAGTGCAAAAGACATTTGGACAAGGAATTTGTTTCTCCTCCACTACTTGTTCCGAAAATAAGGGATTAGACTCTTGAGTAATGGAGGTGGAAGGTTTAGCTTCCTGTTCCGAAGTGAGGTTGGCCGTAGTACAGGCCTTCATGAGTAGTGACCTGAAAAGGGAAGGATCAAATAGACCAGAAGTAGGCACTTGTTCTGGCACCGCCTCCTCATCCTCTGACATGGGCATGTTGGTTACCTCCAGGTCCACAGACCCCTCCTCGCCTAATTGAGAGGATGTCTCGGAGATGCCAGAGCCGGGAACCGGAGCACGTCCTATTTGAGAAAGAGGCATGGATGGAGGAGGGTCATTGACCCATAGAGGAGGCCATGAATTGTGTAAATGAATGGTGCATAAATGCCTGGAACTGATCTGACCATATATCCTGTTGGTCTATAGAACGAACACCAGCTGCAGTGGGAGTATATGTGGCTGCAGGACCCTGTTGTGTTGTGGAAGAAGAGGAGCAAGGGGGACCAACCTGTTCAGTTTCCCCCTGAGGAGACCATGCCCTAGGGGCATCATGGGAAGGCGCATATGGAGGCTCAAATAGGGAACGGTCCAGTGGAACGGGGGGAACCACTTCAGCTTCACAGGACATAAGTCTTTGAACTTTGGAGAATTCCCTCTCCAGCGCCTGATGTCTCCTCGAGGCCTCTCACTCAGCTCCTTTGGAGGACTCCTTAGATGATGGGTTCTTTGTCTTGGCCTTTTTCTTTCCCCCCACTTTCAATTCAGATGATCTGCTTTTCCTTGTGCGGGGGGAATATCAGAACCTTGCGATGCCTGGGATGAGGCACTGTCTGCCATTGCACACTGGATATTCCGGGTAGGAGATGTCCAGGAATGGGGGGAAACCAAACACGCAGATCTGGTTGTCAGAGAGGGAAATCCTGTGCTCTGAACAACAACAATGGGAAACAGCCAGACAGTTCACTAGAACTGCCTGTCTAGGCCTTGTGGCACAGCGCCACAAACTAATTGGAACAGGTGGATTCTAATATAAATTCCCCCGCGCTGAATTAATACAAGTAGTGAAAGAAATGAAATCTGTGCTTCAATGAGTAGTTAGATCAAGCAATGCAAATACAAAATGGTGACAGACCCTTCTGATTGGTCTTGATAATGTACAGAATTGCCCTGAAATAGTGTTGAAATATGTCCCCCCACTAGGAGCCTGTCACAGCAGGCTTAAGTGGCAAAATAAAGCAGGCCCAGTTGAGCTCTTGAGGAACACGAGGTCCCTACAAAATGACGTCCATGCCTGAAAAGGCATTCAAAATGGCAGCCGCATCTGTTTTGGCTGTCCTAAAAAGCCGTCCGCGCCAAACAGGGTGAAAGGAAAGGCTATTTGGGCCTCCTGGAAGTAAGGGCTCTAAGGCAGTGGTTCTCAACCTGTGGGTCAGGACCCCATTTGGGGTCGAACGATCATTTCACGGGGGTCGCCAAACAACGCAGTCCGCCATTTTCCCCCCTTTTCCTTAGCTATGCTACTCCCTTTTATTCCATTGGCTTTTGAAAGCCAATAGAATAGACTCTCTTGAATAGAGTCTAATTCTATTGGCTTTCAAAAGCCAATAGGAATTGTCCAGGCTGTCTCTGCCCTACTGAGCCCACCAAAAGTCCCATTCTGCAACAGTGCTGCAAGTTGTCTGCAGAGCAGGCGAGCTGTCTGGAAGTTTCCACCCCTCCCTGCTGAGCAACTACTAAAAATGTAAGTAAAAGAGGGCCAGGGATGGGAGGTGGGAGGTCAGCGGGCGCAGGGAGGGTTGCTGGCGCAGGGGGCAGCATCATGCATGTGCGGTGCTCCTGGGCAGGGAAAGTCCTCGACTTACAACTGGTTGGATAGTCCTCGACTTACGACCGGTTTAGTCCTCGACTTCCGACCGGCTGTTTAGTCCTCGACTTACGACCAGTTGGGGGTTGCGGCATTAAAAAGGTTGAGAACCACTGCTCTAAGGGATCCCAAAATTTATTTTAAAGCCTCTGCTCCCCCGTTCGTCAGAACACTTGCAGTTGAGTCGCCCAGCCTCCGCTGCGATCTGAAAAGCCACCTGCTTCAAATGGAACCTCGTGACACTGAAACGATTCGAGAGAGAGGCCCTCCAGTCTGCCCGATCTCCAATGGATTCCTAGGAACCGCAAACCGGCTAATCTGTTGATCTGATGCTCCCGCTGATCAGCTGGACCGGAGCTAGAAGCTGCTTCAGAGACTCGTGGCTTCAGCTCCTCAGGAGCTTGCCAGGCTCATTGAGGCCTAAAGGGCCTGGGCAGCAATCCAATGAATTTGCCAAATTGAATCCGAATTTCAAGAAAGGAATAATTTGCAGTAAATTTAAAAGACTTTTAAATGCAAAAAATTCAATTAATGAAATCAATCTAAATAATTAGCCTAGTCTAACTGAGGAGCCAGGAAAATTGCGTCCTACTGAGCTGAGACAAAGTCAATAACTGGGAAGACACACCCAGAGGGAGGCGTGGCTAAAGTTCTGACTTAGTCTCATCTGAGCAGGAAGGCTGAGATTACCCACTGGTGGATTCTACAGTCATCATGCTGGAGAAGACAAAGACACCTAAAATCTGCATACCTCACCCAAACTCTAAGAGTCATTAGCCCCAGCTCCAGGGAAGCAGGATATGACCTTTGGGACATAATAGGATTAACCTATCACCATCAGAATACCAGAAAAGCACACTCAGACTCAGGTCAAAGTTCATGCCACAGGAAAAGGAACAACTCCACAAACAAAAGGCTCCAGAAGGTATAAAAACCCACCACCTACATGTGTTCGCTCTCTTTCTTTCTGGCTCTCCTCTTCAATAAACTGCAACCTTCTTTCTAAAGCAGTCACCATGTTGTTTATCCCCGGCTTGGCTGAACCATGATGAAGACTTTTCCTTCAACAATCTTTTATTAAGTAAAATTGTCTTTTGCTGGCAATGCAAGCAGTGGAAGATATAAAAGTACATTAAAGAATTTACTAGTAGTTTATTCTGACATGCTCAGAATTCATTGGTATCATATTTGCCTCAACAACTATTTATTTGTTTTGCTTTTTTAAATAAATGATTAGAGAGCCCAGTTTAAAAAATGATATGTCACCTGGTGTAAATATTAAGTGGAACATTTCTTCAAGGTCTGGATCATGTATACATTCCTCAGCACTGGTCTACTAATTGAAGAAATAAGCTAACAACATTTTAAGCAGATCAAATCTTGTCAATGTATGTGTGAGTGAATCCTGAAGTTTACCAGCCTTGGTAGATAGGAGAATTCTCCACTAATCCTTCATTGGTGCCCAGATTTCCTTCAGACAGTATGCTTAAAGTTTCATCTGTCTGATAGATGGGCTCTGTTGATGTTTTCTTTGAGTCATGGAAATTCACTGAGTTTCCGCTTGGCAAAGCATAGCCATTTCCAGCAGCAGTTGAGGTGGAGAGAGAATCCCATGGAATTGGGCTTTTCTGCCACTGCAAGTCCAGATTCCAGCCAGTCCAGCCATAAAAAGCCAATGTGAAAAGAAAGCCTTGCATGGGGTTCAGCACTCCCTAGGAAGGAAAGAACAGAGGAAGTTATTTGACGGCCAAAGTGCAGCTTATTATACTTTTTGGTGAGGACTTAAAACTTTAAAGTAGCCCTGCTTTCTCTGCTATTATTATCTCCTATTTCAGACTAAAGAATCAAACCTCAAATTACATAGTCATCCTCTATAAAAAATTAGACAACAAAAGGCAGGAATAAAATATATCTTAAGTAATGCCAGCTAGAATAGAATAGAGCAGAGAAGAGCAGAGCAGAACAGAATAGAAGCTGGAAGGAACCTTGAAGGTCTTCTAGTCCAGCCCCCTGCTCAAGCAGGAGAACATATACCATCTCAGACAAGTGACTGTCTAGTCTCTTCTTAAAAATCTCCAGTGATAGAGCATCCACGATTTCTGGAGGTGAGCTGTTCCATGGTTAATTGTCCTCACTATTAGGAAGTTTCTCTTTAATTCCAGGTTGCTTCTCTCTTTGATCAGTTTCCAACCGTTGTTTCTTGTCCTTCCCTCTGGTACTTTAGTGAATAATGTGACCCCCTCTTCTTTGTGGCAGCCCCTCAAATATTGGAATACTGCTATCATGTCTCCCCTATTTCTTCTTTTCTTTAGATTAGCCAAACCCAAGTCCTGCAGCCGTTCTTTGTATGCTTTAGTCTCCAGGCCTTTGATCATCTTAGTTGCTCTTCTCTGAATTTTTTCCAAATTCTCAACATCTTTTTTGTGATATGGTGACCAAAATTGGCTGCAATATTTCAGGTGTGCTCTTACTAGGGTTTTATAAAGCGGTACTAATACTTTGCATGATCTTGATTCTATGCCTCTGTTTAAACAACTCAGGATTGTATTAGCTTTTTTGGTTGCTGCTGCACACTGCTGGCTCATAGTCAAGTGATCATCCACTAGGACTCTAAGCATAGAGTAGATATATATCCTTCAGGGTATCTCCAAAATGTTTGTGGTGATGGCTTAAGTTAAATATTTTGGACAAACTGATTTGGTGTGGAAGTATCTTTTTTTTTTAGATCTCATTGATGTCATCATTAGAAGTATGTATCTCTTCACAAATATTTAGCGAAATAGATACTCCAACATACTTTGATTTTACTTAATAATGCCAATTGTTCATGGTTTTTAAACATAAAAACTTTGGATATTTTACTGACTTGTGTTTTACTTTATACAGGTAGTCCTCAACTTACAACAGTTCGTTTAGTGCAGTGGTTCTCAACCTTTCTAATGCCACGACCCCATAATACAGTTCCCCATGTTGTGGTGACCCCAACCACTTATACATCACCGGGTGCCAGGAGCGTGGCCAAGTGGGTGTGGCTGAGTGGGCGTGGCCACTGAGTGGGCGTGGCCACCAAGTGAGCGTGGCAAGAAAAACAGTCCTGGCCACCATTAATGCTGTGCCGCCACTGCATGTATTTTAATGCATGTTTACCCTGCCTTTAAATGTGGGACCAAAATTTACAGAAAGTTAGTAAATAATAAATAAGAACAGGCTGCTTTCATTTGAACCATAGATTATAGTGGGGACCTGGAGGGATTTTTTTTCACTGAAGATGAAAGAAAGTATATGAAAGGGAATAAAAAGCAAAGCAGAAAGGAATAAGAAGAGTGAGAAATGACATGGAGGTTATAGGTTTTGTGGATCAGAAATAAACAAAACAATTAAATCAGTTTTAAGAGAATAAATGGCAACAAATGGAAGATTCAAATTAGTTTTAAGGGAATAAAAGGAAATAAATGGAAGTATTAAACCACTTTAAACAATAAATGGAAGGGGAAGGGATGGAGATGGAAGGAAGGAAGAAAGGAAGATTGAAGGGGAAAGGAAGGAGATGCAGAAGGAAGGAGATTGAAGGGGGAAGGAAGGAAGGAGAGAGAGATAGAAAGGGAAGGAAGGAAGGAAGGAAGGAGAGAGATTGAAGGGGAAGGAAGGAAGGAAGATTGAAGGGGAAAGGAAGGAGATGGAGAAGGAAGGAGATTGAAGGGGAAGGAAGGAAGGAAGGAGAGATTGAAGGGGAAGGGATGGAGATGGAAGGAAGGAAGGAAGGAAGGAAGGAAGGAAGATTGAAGGAGAAAGGAAGGAGATGGAGAAGGAAGGAGATTGAAGGGGAAGGAAGGAAGGAAGGAGAGGGAGATTGAAGGGGAAGGGATGAAGTTGGAGATGGAAGGAAGGAAGGAAGATTGAAGGGGAAAGGAAGGAGATGGAGAAGGAAGGAGATTGAAGGGGGAGGCGTTGCCAAGGACGCACAAGCAGCTCTGCACAATTGCCTGGGGACGGGGAGGAGGCTCTGGTGGAGAGCTTGGCAGAGAGCCAGCGGCGGCACATCTGGGGCCTTGGAAGCTGCGCGGAGGATCCGTGCGCCTTGGAACCGCCGGTTGCCCTCTCACGCCTGCCAACCTGGAGCCCCCATCCTCATCCTGGCACTTCTTGCCCTCTCCCAGCCGCCCCCGGGACCTGCCCGCCCCTCCAGCCTCCTGAGCGCCATCGCCCTCCACACCGGCCAAAGCATTGCCTGACGTTACAGCTGACGGGCGCAGGTCCGGGGATCACCAGCTGACGGCGCAGGAGGTAGGCGCCGTGGCGGCCTCCCAGCCGACTGCTTCTTCGGCTGGAGCAGATGCCAGGGCTTGCATGGTCGCCGGCTGCAGGGAGTGCGTCAGTGGCCCTTGAGGACCATGCAAGCCCTGGCAACTGCTCCAGCCAAAGAAGCAGCCCCAGCATCCTCCTGCCAGCCACAGCGCAGCCGGCGATGCTCTGTGGGGTCTTCCTGCAGCTGCCTGCCCACCCCAGGATCAAGGGGGAGGCCGGCCGGGAGCGGGGTCCGGAGAGGCATGACCGCCTCGCCCTTTCCACGCGGCAGGAGCCAGGCCCACTTTCCCACAGGCACAGCACCGGCACCTGCGGGCCACGCTGGCCGCTGCCAACTTCTCACCCAAGCACGGCGGTTCCTGGCCAGCCACTGGCGTGGGCCCCGAAGACGCCGAGGAGGAAGGCGGGTCTGCAGAAAGGCTGCCATGCCCACCGCATCTCCCTTCCCGCCCAACGGCAGCCTGGAGCTCCGACCCTGGTACCATGGCCAGCCTCTGACCGGCTCCCCACGGCCAGCCCTGAGATCAATGGGCGACTCCCGCCCAGCTCTGCCTCGGCCCCGGCTGCCTCGCCCCCCGCGGCCTCTCGCGGGAGTTTCCGCCATGCCAAGTGCTCTCTTCAGGCGGTGCCCGCTTGCAAAGCAGGCGAGGCTGCCAATAACGCCACCAGAGACGGTCCCGCCTGACTCCCAGGCCGAGGGGCACCCCAGTTCCCGAGCGGCTGCGGCTGGAAGTGGCGAGCACATGTGCGGAGGGACCATGGGACGCCCGCCAAGCATGCTGGCCTCGGCCCCTTCCCACGAACAAGCTGGAATGCTAGGCAATGCTTTGGCCAGTGTGGAGGGTGAAGGAGAGGCTGCCGCAGCGCCAAACTCCTGCGCCCGTCAGCTGGGAGGTCTGGCAACGGAGCCGGCTGGCATGGAGGGCGATGGGGAGGCGGCGGCTTGGTGGAAGTCAAACCTCTCCCCCCCTCCTCTGCTCTCCATCTCGCATCCTTCTAGATTTGCCGCAGGAAGGCGCAGGGCAACCACTGGCTGGGCCATCAGCTGGCCCAGCCCAAGGAAGGTAAGCCACCCGCCGGGCCCCACACGCGCCAGCAACCCTCCCTGTGCCTGCTGGCCTCCCACCTCCCACCCCTGGCCCTCTTTTACTTACTTTTAGTAGTTGCTCAGCAGGGAGGGAAGCTTTCCAGAAAGTTCGCCTTGCAGCACCGTTTGCAGACTGGGGCTTTTGGTGGGCTCAGCAGGGCAGAGACAGCCTGGACAATTCCTATTGGCTTTTGAAAGCCAATAGAATTAGACTCTATTCAAGAGAGTCTATTCTATTGGCTTTCGAAAGCCAATAGATTCTATTGGCTTTCGAACGCCAGTAGAATAAAGTTTCTTGAATAGAATCTATTCTATTGGCTTCTGAAAGCCAATAGAATAAGAGGGAGTAGCACAGCTAAGGAAAAGGGGAAAAATGGCAGACTGTGTTGTTTGGCGACCCCGTGAAATGGTCGTTCGACCCCAAATGGGGTCGCGACCCATAGGTTGAGAACCGCTGGTTTAGTGACTATCGGAAGTTACAATGGCACTAAAAGTGACTTATGACCATTTTTCACACTTAACTGTTGCAGCATCCTTGTGGTGATGTGATCAAAATTCAGATGATTGGCAGTTGACTCATATTTATGATAAAGTGTTCCAGTGTCATGTGATCACCTTTTGCAACCTCCTGACAAGCAAAGACAATGGGGTTTGTCTTCCGGGGTGTTGGCTACTTCCTGCCAGTTTGGTGTCATCTGCAGATTTGATGAGTTCCCCTTCAATTCCCTCATCTAAGTCATTGATGAAGATATTGAAGAGTACTGGGCCTAAAATGGAACCTTGTGTTACCCCACTGCTTACTTCTCTCCATGTGGATGTAGTGCCGTTGAGGATTACTCTTTGAGTACAGTTTGCCAGCCAGCTACAGATCCATCTGGTGGTGATGTTTTCTATTCCAGCTTTTTCTAGCTTACCAAGGAGTAGGTTGTGGTCTACTTTATCAAATGCCTTACTGAAGTCTAAGTATACTACATCCACCGTATTTCATTAGTCTGTTAGTTTAGTCACTTTGTCGAAGAATGAAATAAGATTAGTTTGGCATGATCTGTTTTTAACAAACACATGCTGGCTACTAGTTATAACTTTGTTTGCTTCTAGTTCTTCGCAGATCTGTTTTTTTATTATCTTTTCTAGGATCTTCCCAGATATTAAACTGATTGGTCTGTTGTTTCCTGGGTCTGTTTTTTTCCCCTTTCTTGAAGATGGGAACCACATCAGCCCTTTTCCAATCCTCAGATACTTCCCCGGTGCTCCAGGATTTTTGAAAGATGTGGTGCAATGGTTCTGAAATAACATCTGCCAGCTCCTTCAGAACTCTGG